AGGACTACGAGCAGTGGCTGGAGATTAAAGGTCAGTGATTCCCTGTGTTCCATAAGTTTGGGATGCAGGAGCACCCATCCTGGGATAGGGGTCAGTGTAGGGACAGGACTACGAGCAGTGGCTGGAGATCAAAGGTCAGTGTGCCTTGGGCTCTGGAGCTTTGGGATGCAGGAGCTCCAATCCTGGGATAGGGGCTCAGTGTAGGGACCTGTGTTTCATTTGGGATACAGGAACACCCATCCTGGGATAGGGCTCAGTGTAGGGGCAGGACTACGAGCAGTGGCTGGAGATTAAAGGTCAGTGTTCCCTCTGCTCCAGAGCTTTGGGATGCAGGAGCACCCATCCTGGGATAGGGTTCCGTGTAGGGGCAGGAGTATGAGCAGTGGCTGGAGATCAAAGGTCAGTGTTCCCTGGGCTCTGGAGCTTTGGGATGCAGGAACACCAATCCTGGGATAGGGGTCAGTGTAGGGGCAGGACTATGAGCAGTGGCTGGAGATCAAAGGTCAGTGATTCCCTGTGTTCCATCAGTTTGGGATGCAGGAGCACCCATCCTGGGATAGGGGTCAGTGTAGGGACAGGACTACGAGCAGTGGCTGGAGATCAAAGGTCAGTGATTCCCTGTGTTCCATCAGTTTGGGATGCAGGAACACCAGTCCAGGGATAGGGGTCAGTGTAGGGACAGGACTATGAGCAGTGGCTGGAGATCAAAGGTCAGCGTTCCCTGTGTTCCATAAGTTTGGGATGCAGGAGCACCCATCCTAGGATAGGGGTTCAGTTTAGGGACCTGTGTTCCATCGGTTTGGGATGCAGGAACACCCATCTTGGGACCATCATCCCTGTTGGAGTTCCTGGGCTTTTTCCTTGGCCCAGAAGCCAAAATCCAGTTTTTTGGGAGCAGGACGTGGGGCAGTGCCAGCAGGAAGAGCTGCTGCTCCAGCCACACAGTGTCTGTGCCCACGAGCTGGGGACAGGGAATGTCTTGGGAACTGGAATCTGGAATCTCCAGTGAGTAACGTGGTGGTTCAGCCCAAATTCCTGGCCCTCCCTGGTGTGTTTTTTATGGAATATAAACGGGCAGGAGCCAGTTATGCCACGGCTGGAGGGGGTTTGGGTTCAGCTGGGTTGAGCTGGACCTCCACACGGGGATGGAGCCGTGGATTCCCCACCCCTGGAAGTGCCCAGGGCCGGGTTGGAGCAGCCTGGGATAGCTGGGAGAGGCGTCCCTGCCCCTGGCAGGGGGTGGCACTGGACGGGCTTTGAGCTCCCTCCCAACCCAAACCCAGTCTGGGATCCGCATTTCGGGCTTTTCCTCGTAGGAACAACCCGGCCTGTTCACTGCCACGGGGGTCCCAGAGCCCGCCAGTGAGCCGGGAATGGTGATTCCACGCCCGTGCCCGATGGATGCCCCATTCCCTGCTCCCTGCTCCCGCTCCAGGGGTGTGGCAGAGGTTGCTGTTCCTGTGTGGTTGTGGGTTGGCCCCGGTACTGACAGCCTGCTTAAAGTTCTGCCCCCAGAGGACGTGGAGACCCGGGAGGTGGTGGAAAAGCTGGCCAGGTTCGTGGCTGAAGGGGGCCCCGAGTTAGAGAAGGTCGCTATGGAGGACTACAAGGATAATCCGGCGTTTTCGTAAGTCCGGGATGAGCGTTCCCAACGGAAACCTTTGCCTTTCCCCAGGGAGGAAACGGCGGCCTTGGGGCGAATCGTTGCTTCCTGGGAGGGTGGGGAGGCCCTGGAGCTTAAAACGTGGATTTGGCATCTGTGGGCAGAGCTCTGATCCAAGGATTTGTGTCCGAGTTTGTGTCCAACCCGCATGGAGGGGGGGTTCCCCATCCCTGGAAGTGTCCAAGGCCAGGTTGGAGCAGCCTGGGGGTAGTGGAAGGTGTCCCTGCCCGCTGGAATTGGGTGGAACTGGATGATCCTTCAGATCCTTCCCAACCCAAACCAGTCTGGGATCTTCATTCCAGAGGGTTTTTTAAGCCTCTGATGGGTGGAAATGACACTGGGAGTGAGTCCCCCTGCAGTGGATGATCCATCCAACCCAAAGCATTCCAGGATTCCATGATTCTGCGTTAAATCCCTTATTTCCAAAAGGTTGTAATCCTCTGACAGGGTAAGTGACACCGGGGGTGAGTCCCCCAGGGATGGATGATCCTTCAGATCCCTCCCATCCCAAACCATTCTGGAATTCTGGGATCTTTTCCAGTCCTCTGACAGGAGAAGTAACACCAGGGTGAGTCCCCCAGGGATGGATGATCCTTCAGATCCCTTCCATCCCAAAGCATTCCATGATTCCTGGGTGGATTTAAGCTCTGTTGGGAGTCACTGTGTTCTGGCTGAGGCAGAAGGTGCCCCCGTGGTGGTGCTGAGGAGGGAACAGAGCTCCTGTGGCACTTCCAGCAGGTGGGAATGCTGGATTGGATCCCAGGAGTGGTGGGCAGAGGGTTCCCTCCCGTATCAGCACAGATTGTTCCTTATTTCCCTTCGAGTGAATCTGGATGCAAGTCCTTGGATCAGAGCTCTGTGTGTCCACAAATGCTAAATCCACCTTTTAAGGGCATTCTGAGTGATTTCTCTGTTTTTCCTTTGGGATTTGAGCTGTTTCTTTAGCCCAGAATATCAATATTTAGGAGCTGCTGATCCATGGGTTTGTTTTTTTTTTTTTAGCTGGGTTTTTTTTTTCCTCCCTCTCCAGGTTTTTGCACGATAAGAACAGCAGAGAATTCCTTTACTACAGGAAGAAAGTGGCCGAGATAAGAAAAGAGACTCAAAGCTCTCAGGCGTCCTCTTCCCAGAAAGGTAATTCCCACTGGGAGCATTTGGGGGGGATATTTGACTGTTAATGTGCTGCCTGGAAATCCTGTTTTAACGTGGCAGGAGATGGGGACAGAACCACCACCAGGGAGTCCCATTTTTGGGGCCCAAAAAGTGGTTGTTTCCCAAACCCACAGCGAGATGTTCCACGCTCCAAAGGGGTTTTTTTTGGAAGAGATTTTACCCTTGCGCTCCTCCAAAACCCTTGAACTGAACTCAAATAATTCTCCCGTGGGTGTTTCAGCCCTGAAAATACATTTAGGAAAAGGGTGTTGGTTTTTATTTTTTCCCCCAGTTATTTGATTTGTTCCAAATGGAAATGATTTGGTTGGTTTTTGATTTGACCCCAATCCCCATTTCTGCTGCTTTTTCCTTCTCTGAAACTTGGATTTTTCCCACTTGGGACGTAAATCCTTGCAAGGAAGGGGACGTTTCCAGGTGGGAAAACAGCAGGATTGGGTGATGTCTGCAGCAAATGTCACAGGAGGCTGTCCTGGATCCTTAGATTATTCCCTGGCTCCTTATAAACACCGGATTTATCCTGGAAATCTCCATGGCTGGAGCCTTCTCCATGCCTTGGGAAGAGCCACCTCTTCCAGGG